GCCCCCTGGCCGGGCAGCGCGCGGCGGGCCACCGCGCAGCTCTCCGAGCGCACCCGGACGCCGCGGCGTCCCCACTCCCCTCGTACAGGTGGGAGACGGTGGCGCGGTGGCGGCGGGTCGGGGCAGGAAGTGTGGGGGATTGCCGCCCGGGAAGGGAAGGGCAGGGCGGACGAGGGCGACGCGTCTGAGCCGTGTTCTCCAGGAGAGAAGCCAGCCTCTCCCACACACAGCGCGCAGTGCAGCCCCAGGACCAGGCTTCCGGAGGGCCAGGGTGGGCCTGCCCCTGGAAGCTTCACGGTGTCACTGCTGACCCACGTCCCACCTCCGTCTTTCTTATTCATTGAACAGCGGGAAGGGCCGGCCCAGCCAGCCAGCAGGCAGCTGCCTGGCAAGGGGATGCCCAGGACGGCTCTGCCACCGGAGCCCTGCAGAGGTGCCCCCGGTGGCCAGAGTCGGCTGGCCTGCCTGGCTTTCCCACACCAATGACCAGGCGTGCCGAGGACCTTTGGTTCCCTGGTGGCACGGGTCCCAGTGTGCTCCCCGTGCTCTGGGGACGCAGCAGGACTCCTGCCGGGCACAGCCTAGCACTTGGGAGCACGCCCAGAGCCCGTCCCAGCCAGCAAGGGCTGCAGGCCCAGGGCGGCATGGCCAGGCAGGCGCGTGGCGCGGCATGCGTCCAGGTCTGGCTGGGACTTGTGCCCGGTGCCACCCTTTCCAGGGACTCACAGAGGTCTGAAAGTTGGGGTCACACACACCGCTGTATGGGGTGACTGTGCCAGCTCCTGGCCAGAGCAGTTGCCCACAGCTCAATTTGGGGGCTCTGTTGGGGCAGGTGCCTCCACACCAAGGGCCTGAGCGTGCTGGTGGGTCCCCAGGGCCGGGACTCCCTCCAGCCTCCGGTGGCAGGAGGACAGCCTAGCTGGAACGGGGGACACTGGTGCCCCAGAAGCGTCCTCTCGTGCCTATCTCGGGCTGCAGTGGGTGGGTGGAGGAGGGCGGGTGGGCCTACCCCCAGCCTCGCCCTGGTCCTCGCCCTGCGGAGCTGCTGGGGCAGGCCTTGGCCATCCAGCCATCCGCGGAGGCAGTTTGCCACGGCCCTATCTGGCACAGAGGAGGTGTGGCTGTTTTTAGATGAAGGTGACTTTACTCAGGACAGTCACGGGTCACGTGGCAGGAGTCGGAATTGAGCTTTAACTTTTAAGAGGGAGGCCACCTGCAGGCCTCCATGCTTCCGGGGCAGCGGACATGGCCAGGGTCACTCAAAGGGCCTCAGACGTTCCTCCTGGCGGCCGCACTCCACACATGAATGGCACGCCACCCGCCGCCACCGAAGGTGCACCAACGCGCCGACCGCTCCCCACACATGAATGCCACGCCACCAGCCGCCACCGAAGGTGCACCAAGGCCGGGCGTGTCAGAGCCCAGCTCGCCTCCCTGGAGCTGGCGGGACACCCTGAGTCCCTGTGGGATGCTGGGCATTCCCGGGCCTGGGTCATAGGCGTCCTCAGGTGGGAACCCACGTCCCAGGGTAGGTGTGGGCAGGGAGGTTAGCCACAGGCCCCGGCCCTGCCCCTCTGGCCCCTGACCCTGTCTGGAGGTGCGAGGGCAGCCACGGTGGTGCGGCGATTTGGTCCCGAGCCCCCGAGCCCGTGCAGAGGGCCGCCCCGCCCGCGCTTCCTGCCCAGGGCAGCTCCTGCTCATACCCCGGCCTTGTGCAATCTGGGCTGGGCCGCGGTTTCCGGGAGGCCAGCCCTTCACACTGGCACTGCCAGGGGCCTGGGAGTCCTGAGGGCCTGGGGCCATCTCGGGTGGGCAGGAAGAAGCATGCCCTGGGGGAAGCCTTGGGCAGGTACGTGCGTGCACACGTGCAGGGGTGTGTGTGTGCGTGCAGACGCGGGTCCTCACGCACTGCTGAGTGGGAGCCCCAGCCCCGAGCAGCAGGTGGGTCGGAGCCCACCCCTCTGCATGGCCAGGTGGGCAGGCCCGGTGGCCTGGCCCTGTCCCCTGTGGGAGGTTCTGGGGGTCCGTCCTGGCTGGGGTCCACCTGCCTCCTGCCTTGAGGGGTGACACGGTCCCGTGTGGAGGGGAGAGCACGCAGGGCTTTCTCTCTCAGCCTCTGGGCGTGTCCCTGGCTGGAGTGGGTTCCCAAGTCAGAACCCGACTCCGCGGTTTCTGTTGGAGCCACGCGTGCTGTGCGGCATGTGACCCAGCCCTGGGGGCCGCCCTCCCTGCGGCTCACCCCCAAACCTCCCCGTAGCCGGCTTCCTGAGGCCACCTCTGTCCCAGGAGAGGCGGGCGGGGGGCCACGTGGAGCTGCACTGCGAGGCGGTGGGCAGCCCTGTGCCCGAGATCCAGTGGTGGTTCGAGGGGAACGGGCCCAACGCCACCTGCGCACAGCTGTGGGACGGCGCCCGGCGGGACCGCGTCCACATCCACGCCACGTACCGCCAGCACGCGGCCAGCACCATCTCTGTCGACGCGCTCACTGCAGAGGACGCGGGCACCTATGAGTGCCGGGCCAGCAACGACCCGGACCGCAACCACCTGACCCGGCTGCCCAGGGTCAGGTGGGTCCGCGCCCAGGCGAGCGTGGTGGTGCTCGAACGTGAGTGGCCGGACCCCGGTGTCGGACCCCCCCTCCCCTGTCTCCGGCTCCTGCTCGGTAGAACCCAGGTGTCCCCTGCACAGCTCGCCGCTCCCTGACCTCGCCCGACCCCGCGAAGCCTCCGTCTGCCTGGCTCGGGGAGCCGGTGCACTGCCTGGCGTCGTCCCTCCACCCCGTGTCCGCGTGGCTGCCCCTCCTGTCGTGTGCACACTTGCCCTCCGGGACCTGGGCCTGCTGCCCGCGTGCTTGCCCGGGGCCCTCATGAGCTCCTGGCTGTGGACGGGGTCCAGGGTTTGGTTCGTAAAGGGCATGTGGCCAGCTCAGCGTGGGGTTCACTGGAGTAAGGAGTTGTGGAGGAGCGGGGCTGGGCAGGGTGACGGACAGCTGTCATGGCTGCCCAAGGGCCTCCGGGCAGGTGCCTGTGAGGGGGGCAGGACTAGACGCCAGAGCAGGAGTCCCTCCCGGGGGTCAGACTGGGAGCAGGAGCAGGCCATGGGCAGGGGTGTCCTGGGAGCAGGAAGGGATCCTAGCTCGCAGGGCCAGGCCCTGCAGGTTCTGGTGAGGACGTGGCCCGGCTGCCGGCTGCTCTCCTGGGCGCGGGCAGGTGTCACACTGCGGCCGCTGTGCTCCTCAGACCGGCCGCCGGCTGTCAGAGCTGCTGTGGAGCGGCCGGGCTCCAGGACGCGCCTCACCTGCACCCTGAACGGCACCACCACGGAGGTCACCGGCCACCGCTGGGTGAAGGGCGGCCAGGTGCTGAAGGAGGACACACTGCCCGACCTGAGGACAGAGCTCGAGTGAGTGGCCCAGCGGCCGGGTCGGGCCCCGAGCACATCGCTCCTGCGTGACCGCGGGTCCCAGCCGCACCTGGGTGGAGGTCAGACAGCCCTGCCGTGGGGTGGGAGGGCCAGAGAGGGCCGGGGCGGCGCCTGTGGGCTGCCCTTACACGGGTACACCCTGGCCCCACCATCTGACCTCGCCCAGACGCCTGCTGGCCGGGAAGCTCGCCCGTGTGGTGCCAGGGGACTTTGACGTCAGTGCCCCTTGGCTCACGGGGAGGGTGTGGGGTGCTGGACGAGGCGGGCCAGAGACCCCACACGGGCCAGGGCTGTCTGCCCGTCCCCCTCCTGCCCTCGTGTCGCTGGACACAGGCTGCATCCTGGTCTGGGCCGTGGGAGCTGGCCGCGCCCCAGGGAGAGCCCAGCTCAGAGCCGCGCTCGACCGCAGGGTGGACCCAGCCGACGGCCCCGGCAAGTACTCGTGCATCTTCCTCCCTGAGCCTGCAGGCAGGGCCGACATCCCAGTCTACGGTGAGCCCTCGCGGCCTGGAGTGGGCGGGGGCGGCCAGGGCTCCTCCTCCGGCCCTCACTCAGGCTCCTGTCCGGTCGTGCCTCCTCCAGGGCCCCCCAAGGTCAAGGCCGTGAAGAACTCTGAGCACGCCAACGAGAAGGAGACCGTCACGCTGGCCTGCAAGTCGGAGTCCTTGCCCCCTGTCACCCACTGGGTCTGGTACAAGATGGACGAGTCGGGGAGCCAGGTGGGGGCTGAGGACAGACAGGGCTGCAGGGGTGGGGCGGGGGCGTGCACACACAACTGCGGGGCCGGGGGAGGCACACAGGGCGGGGTGGAGGCTGGGGACGTGGACACAGAACGGCGGCCG